GATTCTGGCAAGTGATTGGCTCAATTCTCCCTAATCTGGCCACCTGCCTCTCCCTGCTCCACCAGCACAGGCTAACAGGATCCTGCCTAAAAGGAGGCAATGTGCCACCCTTGCACTAGAGAGAAAGTATCCACGTGTGGGTAGAAGCTGCCAGTGCTTCAGGAATAGCAATGACTTCACCCCGTGTGGTCCACCTGCGCACTCCCTCCCCATCTGGCTTCAAGACCAGACTCAGCTGGGGCAGCACTCGCGAGCCATTTTGCTGGATACGGAGCCAGACCTTATAACTGTGCAGAATTGGGAGAGAAAGGACAGTCTCCACCCCTCTGGGCATTGCCAAGCACTTCTATGTTAATCCACAGGATCTTTTTTGTAAAACAGAATGAGTTCTCTTCATCACCACAATTCAGTGGAGCACTGCTTTCGGACACAGACCAACCTTAACCGCTTCATTCTGAAAACACAGATAAACAAAAGTCACTAATTTTTAAAATCATAATTACTATAAACATTTATATTTTTATTTGATTTCATTGGGTTTGAATATAAAGTCTTATGCAAATTGGAATGTCTGCAAATTCCTAACAGTGGTAGTTTACTCTTCAGGCAACACACACACACACACACACACACACACACCTGAATATTTTTCCAAAGGCAAATAACATTTATTGTTTGCTTATTTGTTTTGGTATAATTTATGATCAGTAACATTTTGATGTGGCCTTTGGATACTGAGGACATTTTAACATTTGGTCCTTTTTCACAAGCTAATCATAAAAATACCTCTCAAGTTTCCATTTTTAAAAACGCATACACCATTCTGTGAGAAACTCTGCGAGGGCAATGGGGTGGCACTGGCTGGCCTTGCTCAGGAGGAGGTGCTGATGCTGGGCCCTAGCAGACAGCACGCAGGCACAGCCCGGGTCTCTCCAGCAGGTTCGCACTCTTGGCGTGACTGACGGCACGATTGACGTTTCGGGCTGGATACGTCTTAGTTGTAGAGGGCTGTCCTGTGCACATCGTAGGATGTTCAGAGGAGTCCCTG